AGCATTGGGTTGGGATGTTTTCGTGATGCACATTTTCTTTACATAAAACTCTCTCTTATACATAAGTTGCGTGGATTTGTTTCTCCAAAGTACCCAGACTAATACAATTACACTTGATCAAACCCCACCAGGCATTCTATACCCTCCTCACCATTGATTTTAGATCTCTGTTGTTCCTTTGTCCCTGGGTTTTTTGGCTCCCCCCTCCCTTTCCCCCACCTCCTCTCCCATGTCCCCCTGGAACCATCAGCCCCATTGTTTTTTCCTCCTTGGGATTTTTTATCCAGCCTATCTTACATAGATAGACATGAGGAAGAAAAAGACAAAACAAAAAAAACCTAGGTCTGTCAGCTGACTCTTATGAATGTTTTCCAATTGGATCTGATGAGGTGACAAGCCTGCCCACTTATTCCCAAGTCTATTTTCAGGATTCCTCAGGTACTTTGTTGCTCTGCCCCTCTTGCTGCTCTGTTGTGTGTTTAGCCCCACCCCCCACCCCACCCCCGTGTAGGGGTGGGCAGACCAGGCACAATTCCCGAGCTGTGTCTCCACTGCTATCCCTTGTGGGATATGAAAAGACTTTTCCCCAGCTTTGTCTCCCCCAAAGATATGCCAAATCTAAGAGGCTGTTTGCCAGTGCATGGTGGGAGGTCGGATGCTTAGAGATAATCTCCCTGAAGGAATTCAGCCATCCAGAACAGACTAGTTGGGGCTCACACCCTATTGATAGGATAGTGATTGTCTCCCTGAAGAACTTAGAACAGGTCAAACCTGCTTAGTGACATCCAAAATTAGTGCTATCCTGAATCTAGGATCCGCCCATCTTGTCACATGCATATCCCCAATCTCTCCTGCTGTATACCCTTAGATTTTCCCTTTTCATTACTGTATTACGTATAGTACAACCCTTCCTGTGACATGTCTTTACCTGAAATCAGGGCGCTTGCACGCCTCCAAAAGATATATAAGCCTTGGGTAGAAATAAATCGCTCGCTCTCCTGCCCTCTCTGCCCTGTGCTGTGTGCAGACCTGGCTGATAAGATCATGGCCTTTCAGGTGGTGAGCATGCTACCATGAAATGTGTCTGACTCCTTCATTTTACTCTCTCCTATCTCTATTAATCTCTATGACTTTACTATAATCTTTATATGTCATAACCATACAATTGCGCTCCTCAGACCTGTGGTATATTTGTGAGGGGCTGGTTTCCTGCACAATCCCTCTTAGCGCTGTGGGTCAGTGAAAGGGTGGCAGGTCTCATGGTAGGGCTGGCCCTATGGTCCTCTCTGTGCATTGGCTGCTCAGAGCAGAAATGTCATCCTTGAGGCTTGGTGGACCAGGATGCAGTCCACTCTCTCTCTTTCCCTCTTAGTTTGCGCCCATGCGGTTTGGGTAGACCTACCACTCTCCCGGGCTATATCTTCATGCTGCCTTCTGTTGTTCATTCTTCCGGGGAGGGTTCGGCCGGTAGCTGGGATTGGGGCTGGCCCCAGAAATAGGACATATTTAAAGGAAAGGTAATCTATCTGGTGAACACTTGAAGAATCACCAAACATGAAATCGAGAGTTCTAAAAAAAATAAGGAGCTGACACTAAGGGCTCAAGTAGAAAGAAAATGTTTTGAGAATGATGATGGCAACAAATGTACAAATGTGCTTGACACAATGGATGAATGTATGGTTGTGATAAGAGCTGTATGAGCCCCCAATAAAATTATTTTTAAAAAGAAAGAAAAGAAATCAAGAATTCTGTACCACGCATTGTGCTGTGTGGTACACACAATCAAATTTGCAGACGTATACTCATCTAAAAAAGAGAAGGTTGAATTAGATTCCAAAGGTACCTCCTGGTTCCAAAATACTGAAATTCTAAATGAGTTGTTAAGTATTAGCAATAGGTAAGCAGGTGTTTGCAGCAGAAGTGTAACTGCCCAGCACCGCAGGCCAGGATAAAGTTGGAACTGCAGATGAAGCTTCAGCAGCCTTCTACGTTGAGGCAATAAAGCCTGAAAGAAGACGAAACGAAACGTACAAGTGAAAGAATGTGGTCAGAGGAAAGGGTCAAAGACTGAATCTCGAATACCCACACTCTGAGGTGGGAGGAGCTGGAGCCACTGAGAGGCCTGGAAGTTGATACCAGATGAGAGGAGAGTCACCTTAGTGTGCAATCATGATATCTGAGGCAAAAGAGTGTCAATAAGCGTCAGAGTGTCAGACATCTGCTCCCATTAAGATTTACACTCTCAGAAACCCTATCTAGGACCACTACAAGTCAGAATCAACTTGATGGCATTGAGTTTGGTCTAAAGAATTATGGTGATAAGGATGAGCAGGCACGAGAGGTTTTCGAGGTGTGAGGACTGGATTACATTGCTAGGAAACATCAGTCTTTATTATTAGAGAGCAATCAAAGTTGCAAGATCAAGAAGGCATAACTGATACAGTAAATGTTCCAAAGGTGAAAGGGGATGGTTGGCAAAAGCACAGTGGGAGAGTTTTGACTTTGAAAGTTCTATTCTCTGAAATAGAGGGAAGTAATAATTCACTAAGAACAGAAGCCTTGAGATATTGGGGTGGGAGGATGGAAGAGTGTGCAGCTAGCCATGCTAAAAAGCCAGTAAGCAATAATTCAAATGACACAGTATTCTGACACATTAAAAGGTTTAGGATGGAAAGGAACTTGTTTGGTGAAAACTGAGACATCAGAAATTCGTATAGGGAGAGGGATAGATGTACTTAAATTCATGAACTTCATTTTGCTTCCTAACAGCACCGGATAACCTGCCTTGGTCCAACATACATGTAGTACTGGAGCTGTTTAAAGACAAGGCCCAGTGTCTGAGGAGAACCCCACTCTGACAGTTTTAGGACACTCCTCCTTCAAAACAGGCAATTACAGTGGCTTTTCAGGCTCTTGTGCCCCTCCTTTGGCAGCCAATTACTGATGCAAATACCTACCCCAGGGCAGAAGAACCTGCTAGCCTGGGCCAGTTGGAAAATTACAAATGTGAGCGATGCAAAGGGAAAGGTTTTTGTTTGGGGGAAAGGTATTTGTGAGCCAGAATGAAAAACAAATCCATCTTTGAAGCTTATAACTCTCCCATGGATGTTCCCTGTGGAGACAACAGCAGGGAGGAAAGTAATAGTTCGTTTCCTCTATTACCAAACCCAAACCAAATTGACTGCCATCCAAAATCCGTATTGACTCACACTGACCCTATAGGACAGAATTGATCCTGTGGGTTTCTGAGACTGTAACTCTTTACAGGAGTAGAAAACCTCAATCTTTCTTCCACAGAGCAGCTGGTGGTTTCAAACTGCTGACCTTGTCGTTAGCAGCCTACCCCTTAACCATGATGCCCCAGGGTTCCCCTTCCCTCGACTATAACAATTGTAGTATGCCAAACAGACTTCTACTTAAGTGGAGTTCTTATTCAGGAACATTTCCAAATTCTTTTTCCTTTCTCCAGAAAATAAAGATTGGTATTTAAGACAGAAAGTTTCAATTTCCCTCCAATCAACAAACTATTTAGGTATAAAATTTCTTTAATCAAAAAGGCCTTATCTTCTTTCAACACAAATACATTAAAGTAAAATATATAAACATGTATTTACACAAAGTAGAAGTCACATGGTCAAAGTCCTGGGTTAGGGTTAAGAAGGTGGGCATGAAGAACAAGTGGAGGATGGCTTCTTATTTGCTCCAAGTGTCCAGTGGGTGCTTCTCTGAACATGGTGGGTAGACCAGGAGAAGACAGAAGACAAGTCCAGTTTAAAGGCAGAATCATGGGCAAACTGTGGCAATGAGGTCCTTCTCCAGATAGTTTCTTAGACTCATCGAGGTGACAGGAGATGCTATAGCAGGTGGAACTGGGGTGTTGGGGGCAGAATGAGCAAGGGGCTGCACTCCATGCTGGAGGAAAAGGATGACGCCAATGCTGGTTCCAGTGCCTAAGGGACCATGGTTCATGGAGATGGTACCTGGGGAACTGAAAGGGGGGTTGCAAATTGGAGTTGTGTGGATCCAGGTCAGGTCCATGGCTGGCCATTCTGTAAGGTGCCAAGGCTGCTTCTGCTTCAGAACTAGATGTCTCAGTTGTGTCTGGTTCTTCTTTTCCATGGGAGGTGCAGAAGAAACAGCCAGATTAGTGTGGTGTTTTGGCAAATGCTGGAAAGGGCAAGAAATGAGAAAAAAAATTTGCTGAGAAAGCTTTCCAGTTAGCACTATCTGGTTACTTAAATCTTAGCTACCTTTGCAAACAAGAAGTACCTGGTTTTATGCAAGATCTGTTCCTGCTAGATAGAGGTTAATTAGAAGTTTTAGAAACCTAATTACCATATATTCTCGAGTATAAGCCAATTTTTCCAGCATATTTTTAGTGCAGTTTTTGTGGTAACATTAGGTGCCTTGGCGGATACTCGAGATGGCTTATACTTATAAGTATAAGTATATACTTATACTTATAAGTATAAGCCATAAGTTGAATAAGTGTAAGTATACTTAGACTTATTCAACAAATTCTTGAGGGCCTACTAAGTACCACATACAATTTTAGGCACTGGGTAATCAAAGATGACCAAAATAGACAGTCCCACAGGTTGCTACTATTTATAAATGATTCCTTTTAGAATTTCCTTAAAGTCTACTTTTCCTGTTTTCTGTATTATAAATTCTAATTTTCTATGTTATTCAATGTTTAAATGAAGTATAAACTAGTAAACAGATTGGATCTTGGTGCTTATTTTTAAGTAAACCATTCCATTCTTACAGGAAATACTCAATGATAACTGTGGTAGACTGAACATTATAAAAAGACTTGTTCTTATCTACAGACTTCCCCCTCCTCAGTACTCTCATTTGAAGCCATAGGAAATAAATCACATGCACACCGGGCCTAAGAATTTACCCAACACTCCTCCTAGGAGTACTTCACCCCAATGACCAGCCATCGACACCCAGCCATTGAGTGAAAAATGCAAAGGCATCCAGAGAGTTTGGTACAAATACGGAAGGATTTTGGAGAAGCAGGGGAGAAAGCGTTTGCACAAAAAACTGAGACATCTTCATGAATGAATCATTTGGCCCAAGTAAAAGGCCTTAGATATCTCTGCAGGAAGCGGATAAAATAGAACAAAGTCCCTTTAGGATTCAGGATAATTAATGAAGCATAGTCATTTTCTACACCGCAAAGCAGCTTTTCAGAGGAAAATACCCTGAAGTGAATATGCATACTTTTAATTGCTTTATTATTCTGCCTTTTCCCAGACTTACAAGTTCTTACCTTGGTCAGCTGGTGCTGGCTATCACTTAGAGATGACCTCTGGGCAGCTATATGAGGAAACCAAGTCTTCAACATCCCTTCTACCTGCAGAAGGGTTCCTAGATAACGCTCCCTATGAAGGTGACAATACAAAAGAGCATTAACGATTGAGAGGTTTGGGGCAGAGAAAAAGGACAGGAATGGTGACCTCTCAGTTTTAGTAGGCACTAAGGAAAGAACCAGAAAGACTTACCCCATCTGTGGCTTCTGTAAAACACCTATAATACGTTGAATCCTGTCCATTGCCACACTCTGCTGGAAACTGCTCAATCCTGGAGTCAAAGAGAGAAAGAAGGTTCAAGGAGTGAGGTTTAAACTTCCAGCCGGGTAAAAGAAGGATGGAAGTGGGTTAAAACTGAGCTACATAAAGAAATTAACTAGATTAAAAAAAAAAAAAAGTAGAGTAGTAGCCCTGGCAATCTATTTCTAAAAAATTGCCCAGTGAAAAGTTTATGAAATAGCCGTGGAACATTATTGAAGATAATACTTGAAGATGAACCCCTCTGGTTGGAAGGTATTCAAAATATGACCGGAGAAGCACTGTTGTCTCAAAGTAGTCAACCTTAATGGCATGGATGAAGTAAAGCTTTCAGGACCTTCATTTACTGATGTGGCACAACTCAAAATGAGAAGAAACAGCTGTAAATATCCATTAATAATTAGAGCATGGAGGTACAAAGTATAAATCTAGGAAAATTGGAAGTTGTCAAAAAAAAGGGGGGGGAAATCAAACACAAAGATAGATAATCCTAGGCATTAGTGAGCTGAAATGGACTGGTATTGGTAATTTTGATTAGTTAGTCATATAGTCTACTATGCTGAGAACTACAAACTGAGGAGGAATGATTTCACATTCATTTTCAAAGAGAGCATTTCAAGATCTACTCTGAAGTACAATGCTTCCATGATAGGAAAATATCTACACATTTATAAGAAAGACCAGTTAATATAAGTGTTGATCAGATTTTTGCACCAACTACTAATCCAAAGATAAGAAATTGAAAAAGTTGCATTAACTTCTGGCCCCAAATTGATCAAACATGTAATGAAGATGCATAGAAAATTGCCGGTGATTGGAGTGTGAACTTAGAAACAAAGAAGTATCAGTAGTTGGACAATATGGCCTTGGTGATAGAAATGACATCAGAAACCACATGAAGAAGCTCACATCAAGAGTCAGACTGACTATGGAACAGACCATCAATTGCTCATATGGAAGGTCAAGTTGAAGCTGGATATGAAAAGTCCATGGGAACATCCCCCCAGAATTTAGAAACTATCTCAAGAATATATTTGACACACTGAACTATAATGACTAAAGATCAAACAAGTTGTTGGAAGACATCAAGGATATTATACATAAAGAAAGAAAAAGTTCATTAAAAAGACGGGAAGAAAAAAAAAGACAGGAAAGACAGAAAACACTAAAATGAGTATCAGAAGAGAGTCTGACATTTGCTCTTGACCACAGAATAGCTAAAGTGAATGAAAGAAGAGTAAAAGCAGGTGAACAGGAAATTTCAAGGGCATCTTGTGAAGACAAAGTAAAGTATTATAATAATTAAACGTGTAAAAAGACTTAGATATGTGTGGTATACAGAAAGATTTCTCCCACGTCGTCTCCCCCAAATATATGCCAAACCTAAGATGCTGCTTGCTACACATGGTAAATGACTGTACACGTGGAGGTCAACTCAAGCCGGTCAGAGGCTATCCTCCCTAATGGTTATTAGGCATCTAGAGCAATTAGACTATATAGTCTGTCCCACCCTCAGTAGGACCCACTCCCTTCTGATAAGGGTAGTGGATTGTTCCCTTGAAGAACCCAGAGGCAAGGTTGAGCTGCCATATATTGAGTCTAGGGTCCACCCATCTTGTCACATGTGTACCCCTAATCTCTCCCCTTCCTATTGCATGTACACCCCTAGCTCATCCCCTTCCTGTCACATGTGTGGTTACCTGTAATCACCCCCCCAAAGATATATAAGCCTTGGTTAGAAATAAATCTCGCTCTCCTGCCTTCTCTTTCTTCACCTCCACGTGAACCATCGACCATCAAGAAGGGCTGAAGTGAGCATGCTACCATGAAATGTGTCTAACATCTTCATTTGACTCTCTCTCCTATCTTCTATGACTTTACTATAATCTTTATGTATTTTAACTGTACATTTGTGCCTACAAACCCATGATGGTTGTTAGGGGCTGGTCTCCCCTCACAAGTATGGATTATACAGCAGCAATAAGAAAAAATCCTCACAACTAGATCAATAGGCAACATTATGACTAACAGAAAATATTGAGGACCAGAATTTTACTTGACTCCACAATCAATGCCTAGGGAAGCAGCAGTCAAGATGTATTGCAGTAGGTAAATCTGCAAAAGATTGCTTTAAAATGGTAAAAACAAGCTGTCACCTTGAGGTTTAAAGGTGTGCCTGACCCAAGCCATGGTTTTCAATCACCTCATATGCATGCAAGAACTGGACAATGAGTAGAACAAGGAATACTTGGTGTCTTTGAATTGTGGTGTTGGCAAAGACAATTAAATATACCATGGATTGCCATAAGAATGAACAAAGATCATAATGCCAAACCATAGCTGGAGAAACTAAGTTTACTAAATATCAAATAGATTTTTTGTTAGAAAAAAAAAGAATGAACAAAGATCCTGGAAGAAGTAAAGCCAGAATGCTCCTTAGTAGGGAGGATGGTGAGGCTTCCTTTCACATACCTTGGTCAAGAGGGGCCAGTCCCTGGAGAAGGGCACCATGTTGACAGTGGGCACAAACATAACATTGTGAGGATGGCACTGGGTCAGATAGTGTTTCATTCTGTTGTACATGGGTCACTATGAGTTAGAACCAAGTCAACAGTCCCAAGCAACAGTACCAAAGATTTAAGAGAAACACACTTAAAAAACACAAGTTATGTGATAAATTACCTCTCTCAAAGCGGCCCATCTTCAGCCCATTCAGTAGATCTGTGAGTGGGCGGATGAATCCTTGGAGTTCTTTACACTGTAGAATAACATACAAAGGCCATGAGAAAATTAAGAATTGCCTACTCCAGTGAATGGTTCTTCCCTCCACTTCTAAATCTGGGAGCAAACCCTCCTCTCACAGGGTCCTTGAAAATTAACTGGGTGGTAGAACACTCCATCCAGTAACTTTGCCTTTCCCCTGTTTTTTCTTACCTTCTGAGCAAAGAGCAGGTCTCCCTCTGTGGTGCAACCCTGGATGTTTAGGCTGGTTCCCAAATCATCTCCTGATCTTTTGGCGCCAGATCCTGCAATGGGAGAAGCCAGGCGCCGCTGGTCCCGGTGCGATGCTGTATGTTGGTTCCTGGAAACCTTGAGTCGATGTCTGCAGCGGATAGGGCCGGGGCTGGGCCGAGTACCTCCACTCTGCCCAACAGTGTCCGGTGTGGGGTGGGGAGCCCTCCTTTCTTCCCCCTCACTATCTGAGGGGAGGCCAAAGTCAGCGTTCACTGGTGAGGTGCAAGAAGTGGAAGAGAGGGAGAAGGAAGAGCTGGAAGAAATGCTAGATGGAGAATCCATAGGTCCAAAAGCAGGCGCTGGAGAGCACGCAGCTCTCGGAGAACTCAAAAGATGGAACCTGCAACTGAAGAGGAAAGCGAGAGAGTTGGAAACCAAAGGTTGAGGACTGGAAAATGGATGAGGAGACTGGAATGTCCTGCACAGAATAACACTAGCTCTTCCTCATCCCGTGTCACACGTTTCAGAGACAATAGTACACACACACACACACACTCACTCTCTCCCTCTCCACTCTTTACCGTCATTTAATGAACTGGAACCGGGTCTCCGGCAGTTCAAACTAAATGCTACGCGGGTACCTTCTCTCCCACCCGACCCCTGCCTGTTGCTCGCCTCCGCAGTTCCCCCGTCAGTTCCCGCAGCGAGCCTCCGTGTCTGAGGTCACGCCACGGCCGGACCGCGCATCCGGACAGGTCTCCGTACCTGGATCTACCTCAAGACCCAGCGGGAATCGCCCCACCGAAACCAGCTTCCCGCGCCCTTCCCAAGCTTTGTAGCTCAGGATCCCGGCTCCGGGTTGTCTCCGGTCGTGTCGGCTTCCAATCACAAACTCACCCCTCTGGCCCCTCAGACCCACTTCCTCAGGATCCCGTCCTCTCGCGCGGCTCGACCCCCACCCTCCAAGTCTCCTCACCTGCTCCGGTAGGCTCGGCTCAGGGTCTGTCTCCGGTCGCTCCCAGTTTCTTCACGTCTGTGTTGCGGTTACCCACCTCGGTCTCTTTCATTTTGTGGGTACCGCCCCTTCCCCCCTCCCAGACACGTGCGACTCCGCACGTGCCTCCCCCTGTGTACGGATTTCGCACTCTCATTGGTTGTGGAGCCGGCAACACGTGATTCTCCTTACCAGTCTTCGCGGCCCATTTGCCAGAGTACACAGGGGTTGGGCCAATAAGGAGGCAGAGAAGTGATGATTGGCTGCAAGGGAAGCGTTCCGTGCCCCGCCTCCACATGCGACTCTGGGTGAGGAGCGGGTGATGAAAAAACGCGGTGGGGGCGGAAAGAGTGGGGAAGAAACTAGGGACGGAAGGGAGCCGAGCCCAAGGCCTTATAAAGGATCGTGACGGGCTGGGGAGGCGTGGCTAAGCGTGCCGAGACTGGCCGTGCGCCCTGACTGGCTCACGTCAGAACTGGGCTGCCCCCGCCCGAGCTCCGCCTCCAGAGCCCGCCCCCGCGGCCCTCTCGGGAGCGTCTTCGCTCACGAGCGCCGCACGTGGAACCCACTAGCGACTCGTGCCTGCAACGTGTGTGACAGAATGAGTGTGTGACACTGTGCACGTCTCCCTCTGTGGGCGGCCCAGCACTCGTGACTCCTGGTCTCGGGTTTTAGCCTCCCCTCCGCCCTCTCCACCGAGCTGGGTGCCTCTCGCCGTGCCGGGTGAGGAGGGTGGGGACTGCCGCCGAGGACACGGTGTTCTCCCC